ACTCCACAAATCTCAGCAGCATGTATTAAAGAGCATTCTCTTTAGAAATTATGGATTTATTTTAAATTTAATCACTGGTTACTTTTTAACACTGGGGAACTACCACTTGGTAGGGAGTGACTTTACAATCTATATAAACTACCCTTGGAAACACCCTGACAAACCTTAACAGTAACAAGACATATCTGATGGCTTGATATCACTTATGGCACTTGAAAAAATACTTTTTAACTATTTAAAACTGTATTAAAGTTAGCTAGTGAAGGAAACTTTAATCAGTAAAACCTACATCCCAATATTATCTGCCCATTATTAAACAGGCAATCCCTCCCTAAGATTTCTATATTATGGTATTGTAAAGCTAAGTGTGAAAAAGTATCCTAATATTCAAGACTGACACATAACAAGAGCAAACATTTCAAAGAACGATTTTAAATTCTTTTATATTAAATCTCATTACTCTACAAGGAACCCACATCAACCACCATAAGAAAGATAACTAGACTGAAAACATCTTCCTAGCACTAAGGAGGCAGAGGTGGATCTACAGGAGTTCAAGGCCAGCTGATCTAAGTGAGTTCCATGCCAGCAAGGGCTACATTGTAAGATCCTGTGTCAAAAAGAAAAAGGAAAGCAGGCATAACATCTAAATTAAACATGGCAGCTTTTAAAAATAAACCTTAAAAGCTTAACCCAGTATCTCTACCACACTGTTCAACACTGTAAATAAACTTCCAACCTTATAAAGTAAACTTCCACTTACCCACGAGTTATAGACTGGTGTTTCCTTAACATAGAGGTTTGAATTAACCGAAGCCACTACCTATTCATAATCTTACAAGTTTTCTACTAGGTATTAATTTAGGGAACACTAATGAAACAGAAATGGTTGTTTACTTTTCTTAACCCAGGATTATAGGTAAGTTTTCTGACATCAAGCCAAATCACCAACCATCTTTCAGAATCACATTATTTTTTAACGTAATGAAAATCTGAAGCTCACTTCAAAGACATTTGCTTACTGGTGGCTTGTTCAGTGTATCTGCTGACACTTTCCTCTGCCTCTTAAGACTACAGTGGAGACAGAAGGTGGTTTCCTAACTCATTATTTACTCATTCATTCATTCACTCATTCATTCGTTTATTTTGATGGCCAAATATAGATAAGTAAGTATTTCAGTATACAACCCAATACTTAAAAGCTATCACTATGACTACTGGACAAATATGTCAATACAAAGTCTTCCCCCACCCTAAAATACTTAAGTACATAGCACGAACATACTATTTTCACACTTCAGAAACTAAAATATGCTTACCTTTACTCCACAAGAGTAAATCACTGGCAGTAGCAACTATTAGAGCAATGGATAAATACACACAAGACATGAAAATAGGCTGTGTAGTCAGTCTTCCTATGGCGAGCATTGTTTCCAGCAAATAGATCAGAAAACCAAGTAAAAACGTGTTCTATTACCTAAGATCACACTGTTGGAAGTAACAGAAACAAATCCCAGGCCTCCTGTGTCAGTTTGGCGTCCTATCTACTATAACCCCAAAGCATAGTTAATCAAACAACTAACCAGTTCTGCATCACTCCATTTGCTAACATGCACATTCAAAGCATACAGCCCTAAGTGAAATGGGAGAGTCATTCTGTTTGTTTTCTCATGCTCTCGGGCATGGCTTCTAACATCACCTAAAGCTAAACATGATCAGTTAGTTATCTTTCCTGGTGGCCTTAAGTCACAGCAAAATGGACTGTGAGGGACATACATACACATCTATCAATCTAACTACAGATGTACATACATATGAGATGTCTTATAGACCTCAGACTACCCAGGCTAAATTACTGAGACTATATATGCATTTATACAAGGTATCACTTAAGCTCAAGAACTTGTCCAAGTTTAAGATACTGTCTCAAAAACAAGCATTTGCCAAATAGCACTCCATGCCTATTATCTCAGATCCTGGGAGGCTGAGGGTGAGGAGTCTGGTGATTTCTAGACCAGCTTGGGCTAAAAAGTGAGATCCTTTCTTGAGAAACAACGGACTGAAATTGTAAATGACAATCCAGTCTAATCCCAGGCCCGTATATTCCGTATCTCTCCTAACAGATGACGAATGAGCCAACTACTCCTAGATGGGAGCATGGCTCAGGAACAGAACATTCGCCCACACAGTTCCATCTCCATTATGGACGAGGAAAACATTGAATGTTGCTCCCCTAAATTTGGAGCTTCAGTTTCTACAATTTTACCCCTGCAAAGGTTCTACAGTGAGTAAACATGGAGACCCACGTACTTACAGTCCAGGCCTGTAAATCCAATCTTACTAAATCAAAAGGCCAGTAAATTTGGCATGAGACACCTCTAAAAGTACTATTTTTTTTTCAAATAATGTTCAAACTGTCCCAGAAACACTAGGATTTCTAATATATCCTCCAACATTTCAAACAAAACCATGTGGGAGTCCCTTCTCAAAAAGGAGAGAACTAAGGACTTCTAAGAATCCCCACTCAAGCTTCACACTAATGGTGACAACACCGGGACACTGCCCTGGCAGTAAAACTGTTCTATTTTTCACTGAACCCCACCCCCATTGTATCTAATCTGGTAACATTGTCTATAGCATTCCAGGTTCCCAACAGTCCCAACATTTTGAAAACTGTCCCCATAGCTTACAACATGGCATGCACATGCACATTTCCCCAGACACCACCTACTCCCCCCACCAAAGAACTGAGACCTGCAGAGTGATTTTACACACCACAATTTAATATATAAAAACAGCAAGGATCTTGAAGTTGTAGATATTAAAGTGGCCAACAAGATAGCTCAACAGGTAAAGGCACTTGCTGCTGTGTCTGAGACCAGAGTACAATCCCCAGGACCCACATTATAGAATGAGGACACTCTCATCAGTTTCCTTTGATTTCCACATAAGCACTGATACACAAACAAATCTAACATCAAAAACAATTTTAAAGGTGAACTCAGTTGGCCATTTTACTATGTTAATGAAACACTGTTGCCAAATCACATTAATCGTGAAATAAGGACTCTTCTAAAAATAACTATTCATTTTCATATGCAAAAAAAATAGCCACATCAAATAATGAATTCAGCTTTAAAAATATTTTAGAGGAAAAGCAGGAACAGTGAATGGCCATCTACCTACAGCCCCTACCACTTGAGATGGAGACATGAATACTAGGTAAAGGTCAGTCTAGGTATGTAAACCATGTCTCAAAAATAGTACTTCAGGACAAAATCTCATTTTAACAAGAACTGCACACTGAAGTGTTTAAGAAATGAACTTTACATGATTTTTAGCCTACTAACCAGTCTCATCTTCACTACAGAAACTATTATTTATATAACTATATAAACTGGTGAGGATGACAGAGAAACACGGGCACCAAAAAAGTAATGTTTAAGCGTCTTCATTATTTTGTTCAGAAAGTTTAGCATCTGCAACAAAATGCAGTTGGATAAATGGACAATTATCAAGTCAACTTAAGAGAAAGAAAAGAGGGAGGGGTGAAGAGGATAGAAGGGGAACATAGGGGCAACACACCTCTAGTCCAAGAAAGAGACTTGTGAGGTGAAGAAACGAGCCTCCTAAGCCTGGGCAACACAGTGAGACTGTCTCCAGAACAAGGGTTGGAGGGTAAGAATGCCTTCGAAGAGTAAAAGTGTAAAACTGAAAACCTACCACCTCAAAAAGTCTGCCAGTGGAGAACTGGCCATCACCTGAAATGTTCTGTAACACTGACAGAAGTTGCCCAACTTTCTCCAAGAAACGACCACAGAAAGCTCTACACATATTTGCTACCAAACAAAGGAGCAAAGATAATTCTTTTGACAGTGAAAACAATGACCTTCAAATATAAATATCAACTCAACTTACTACACACAATTAATAATTACATAAACCAGAAGACGAATGTAGTTAAATTTTAATTTGACATTACCTATTTAACTAACTATGCCCAGCAGGCACCAAAATATAAGGTTCATCCAAACATCATTATTTACTATGTCTCATTCAGACCCCACCCAGTCTTTTTGCACGTTAGTCTACTTTACCTCCAACTTAAAACTGGACAATTATGAGTAGATGAGAATAGTTAAAAAAATAAATCCCATATAAAATTTAAATATTTCCAAAATAATAGACATGGTCTGTAAAGACAGACATAAAGGCAGTGTACTATCTTTTTAACCTCCAATGGAGAGAGACACAGCCCAAGAAAATTAAAATATGCGCCTGAGGGCAGAGACTGACATTTTAGGAGGGGAGAAGTGGGATAAAAAGAATACTCAACCTACCAGCCTCCAAAGGGAAGTCATGCAAATGTGAACACATGTCAACCAACTGTAATTAACATTCCAGCCAAATCACACTGAAAATAAAAAATCTGGTAAGAGCTGTAGTGGGAAAGCCACATTTAGCCCATCTATGTATAGTACAATCAATGCTTAAAGTGTTTATATTGCTGGTGAAGATATAAGACTTTGCATAAAGCACAGTAATATACTTAAGGAACTGTCTATTTGACAGACTACTTCAGTATAACATGCAAGACATTTCAACACACAATATTTTTATCAAGTAACTAAATATTTATTTAGCTTTAAGCTTAGAATTTAAACAAAAAAATATTTCAACCTAATAAAAACTAAATGAAGTACAGTAACTTTTCTGCTTGCCCATATTTAAAAGAAAAATTACTAATCACATTTAGTTTAGGTTGGCCAAATTGTCATATCATGCATTACCACAAACCATATACCACGCAATGGCATCAATTTTGCCCACAGATTACTTAGGATATCTAGAAAGTCTTTATAGCCCAGGCACAAGACTCACTCTAGCGTATTAATGTCTAAAAATTTCCTGGGACTCAATGGGCAACCAAATTATAGAGCCTCTGCATGTTATGACTACTGAAATCTTTATAAGACAGAAATAAAATTTAAAAGTTTTACCATTCTTCCCGCTGTGCCGTCGCTGCTTCAGTGTGTCGTGGGGAGGAGTTTGAATGGCTAGGGAATTAACAACCGGTACAGCAACCAATCAAAATTCTAGTTTTAGTTTTTGACATTGTTAGGGTTAAAAACTAATTCATTTATACGTCAGTTTAACAAAAAATAACTACAAAGACAGCTAGCTACTTTGTAACTTTCAAAACTCAGGGGTAATAGAAAGCCTGCCCCAGTTACACAATTAACCATTTTGGTGCCTCTGTCCAAAGAACAGAATTCAGAAAGCAAAACCCAAAATGTTAAAAACTTAATTCTTCAAATAATTAACAGTTATTCCTTTCTAAAACTAAGCCACATTACCATTCAGGATTAGTTCTGTTTAAATTCACTTCCCCTCCCACCAGTTCCCCACTAAAGTCAGTACAACCAGTAATTGACTGAAGACTGTCAGTCTTAACTGAGATTTTTAAAACTATATTCCAAGTACTTCCCTGCCGCCCCAACAACCCTACAAATCTTAAACTCTTAACCAATAATGGAAATCATGTTTTCTAATACCAGGCTTAAATGACATTTACTTCCCACCAAAACTTTTTCTTTATAGTTTAAAAATAAAAAAATTGCATACGCACAGCCCCATTATTTAAAAAGTATCGAAACGGTAACTCAAGATCAGCAATCTGTAATGGGAACATGAAAATCTAAGGACCCGGATCCATCCCACCTTCCTAACCTCCTGTATGATACTAAGCTCCCAAAAACTGCATTTTAACATATTAAAAGCAGCTTTTGGTGGCAATACAAAAGTTACTTCAATTAAAGGAAGCAGATTAGCACTGAAAAAAATTCTGAAAAATTAACCCATTGAACAACACAGAATTGATTGTATTTTAACGGGCGAGTGGGCTTCTTTCAACAATAGTAAGGGCGAGACTGAGAAGAAACCAAAACAGGCTCCTGGGCACTGAAAAGGCGGGAGAGAAAATTTTAAGTTGCACAGAGTAAGTAAGGAAAGACTACGATCTGTACAAATAGGCAACCCTGAGGGCGCGAAAAGGGTGCACAGCAGAGTAACTTGGCAGAATGGGGGAAGGGCAACCGCAGGCAGGAGGTAGAAGAGCCCCAGTCAAGTGCAGGCCCCATCAACCACAAGGACTTAAATGGAGCCCGAGGAGCCAGACCAACGCGCCATCAGGAAGGAGACCGGGGGCATCGGCAGGCCCAGTCTGTCTACAGCACAAATGCATGGCCTGGTGTGAGCGTGCCGTGGGGTCGGCGTACAGTGGACAGAACGAACGCGTCCTAAGGCGAAACTTATTTAAAATGCTAAAAACAACTGGCCTGAAGCCGACGCGGGAGAAAGAGAGGTGGACAGCCTACACCTTCCTGAAAGCAAGAACGGATAAATAATCGCACCGTCTCGGGGTGGTGGAGAAGCACCCACCCAACCTCGGAAAGCCTAGTAAAAAGCATTCTGTGCGTTTGCATTTTTAAGCCTAAGAGGTTAGAAATCCGGGAGAGATGGCGGGGGGGGGGGGCCCCCCGGCCCCCAGCCCCGTCAGGCGGGAAAAAATCCTGGCGGCTAAGTCGGTGGGAGGAGACCCATGGCGAGGGAGGAAAGAGGGCGG